TGAAACTTTTTATTTTAATAGAAATATGTAATGGCATTATAAAGAAAATATATATCCTATAAATTATACTTAATATTTAAATTAATTAATTTTTTAAATAATTAATTTATAATTAATTAATTTATAATAATTAATAATTAATTAATTAATTTAATAAATAAATTAATTAATTTAATAAATTAATTTATTAATTTTTTAATTTATTTTTCAAATTAATTAATAAGTAAATTAATTATTTTCACTATTTAAAAAGTGAGGGAATGACACTAATAGTGAGGGAATGATATTTTATTTTAATACATGTTTTTATCTAAGTTACATCTACCTAAAGTTTGAAAATGATAACATACTAAGTATATCTAATATTTATTATAATTTAGTCTTATATATTTAATAGTTTTTACAGGTTTGGGAAATAAAATTGGCTGGCACGATTGAACAAAAAAAAATTTAATAATATACTCATCTTGAATCATTCCCTCACTTCAGCGTCATTCCCTCACTTTATACACTAGTGAGGGAATGACGAATTCAATAAAATTTAAAAATAACAGTTAGGCCTAATTAATTTCTGAAGTCAATCACATACAATTATATTCATACAAGAAAGCAACATATAATTATCCACTTTCTCGATGAAGTTGTATTTTATTTTACTCTAAAAAATGACATGAGGGAATGACAAATGTAAAAAATTTTACCTGGTTTGATTCATTCAAATTTATTCCACAGCAAAGCTTCTTTAAGTTGAAGATGGAAACATACTGCAATTTTGTTCTATGATGCCAGTTGTTAACTTCTGAAGTTTTTATTAAAATATTTTTATTCTAAGAAGATTGCAGGTGATAAGAACATTGTTGTGAGGGAATGACGCGAAACACTGGGGACAAAGTTTAAAATAGTGCTGTGTTAATATTTTTATCAGAAATTAAATTTAAAATTGATTTTCTGAATTCTATATTTCAGTATTCTGAAATAAAAAACACGAATTTGTAAAAAAAAAAATTTTATTTCAGAAACAATTTTTTTCTTTTTTTAAATCAGCAGTGGGGACAAGTGAGGGAATGACATATTGGTATATTTTAATTACCTAAAATAAATAAAAAATAAAAATTGATAATTTTATTTTTATTCTTTTGTTAGCTTGCATTCTGAAGGACACTTTCCCTGAATTTTTTTTTTTCGTAAGCTGTAAAACAAACATAAAATATACTGGGGACATGAAAATGACTGTTTTTGTGAGAATGACCCATATATATACACATTCTCCGAAGCGGGTTAAAAAAAAGTAAACAATTTATGTAATAGTATTAATAGTATTGATCAACACTGCGAAATCATGCACAAAATTGAAAGACATATACTAACGCAGAGAATAAAGCTAAAATAATTTATTATTTTTATTTACTATGTTTTGTCCTTCCGCTGGTTCTATAAAGTATACACAAATAGACATTCATTTGTATATAAAACGAAATAAAAAATAATAATGATGAAAAAAAAAAGTGTATTTACTCTTTAGTAGGCACCCTTTTTGGAGGTTTCGTTATTGCAATATAGTGATTAGCAAACGCTGTAGATCATTTTACAATCGGCGAGACCCTACATTATTAACTAAGACACATTTAACCAGAGATGGGTTTTAATTACTCGGAATAATGGATAATTATTTAAAATCTACCTGAATAATGAATAAATATTTATAGAGAACATTTTGAAAAAATATTATTTTTTAATTTTTTAGTCATTATTCTTTTATTTTTAATTATTATCATTAGTCAGTAATAAATGAATAATTTTGCTGCTCAACAGAAATACGTTTTGATGTTGACAATAATTGTGATTAACTACAAATAAAAAATACATAGTAGTGTGGCGTATTTCACTTTTAAATTTCCTTTTAGCAGAATTTCCCTCAATTACTAAATTACCGGATCCCAATCAACACGTAAAACATAACATCCTTCATTTTATAAATACGATAGGTCCTCCAGTAGTAGCCAAACCTCGCAGATTAGCTCCGGATAGACTAAAAATTGAGAAATCAGAATTTAAAAAAATGATGGAGTTAGGGCACATAAGACCATCTAGAAGTAATTATGCATCCCCACTTCACATGGTCCCAAAAAAGGGAACACTGGAGTGGAGGCCAGTTGGTGATTTTAGGGCACTAAATGCACAAACAGTGAAGGAAAAATATCCCATTCCTTGTGTAGCTGATTTCACATCTGAACTGCATGGCGCCAAAATTTTCAGTCACATTGACTTAGTAAAGGCCTATCACCAGATTCCAATTAACCCTGATGACATTCATAAAATGGCCATTTGTACACCTTTTGGACTATTCGAAAGTACACGCATGTAGTTCAGACTGTGTAATGCAGCAGCTACATTACAAAGATTAATTGACGAAGTCACTACAGATTTACGTAATATTTTTGCATTTGTCGACGACATATTAATCGGGTCTAAAAATCATAGAGAACATATACAAAACCTTAGGAATTTATTTGCAAGATTAGAACAATATGGTCTTTGTATCAATGTTGAAAAATGTACATTCAGTAAAAATTCTATAAATTTTTTAGGCTTTAAATTAACAGAATTAGGATTCGAACCTCTACCGGAGTGCGTACAATGCATATTAGAATTCCCTCAACCTTCCAATTTATCATAACTTCGCAGATTTTTAGTCACGTTTAATTTCTATCGCAGATTCATCCCAAAAGCCGCCGATACCCTTTATCTTTTAATACAATTTTTAGAAGGAATTTCCAAATCCTTACGTACAGAAAAAAAGAAGAAAATCATTCTCCCAAAGAACCAGACTAAATTGTGACTAGGTATGGAAGACATGTACACTTTCCAGCAAAACTGGCAACTTACGTTTGTTATTAACATTATTAACTAAGCAAGGTTGTTTAGTATAAAATATTATTTATCAATGATGTAAATAGTGTAATATTCAAAATTTTATGTGAAATATTATGTCGTTTCAGAGTAAAATTCTCTGTCACTGGGGAGATACTCTGTAGTATTATTCTTAATCGATAATGAATCGATTAAGCAAGATGATTATAAATTTTTTCTTATATGTTGGAAGGCAACAGTCTGGTTGAAAAATAAAACAGCTATGGTGAATAAATATTTGCTAACCTTCTGAATAATTGTGATAAAACAACACTTCATTGGTGACCTGCGGACGTGATATGAAATCGCTCGGATGGTCCACATTAAACAGTTGATTTGCTTAATATAAAAACTGCTCAAAGAAAAAAAAATCCGATGAAGTAAATAAAGTCGATGAAGTAATAAAGCCCGGTAATAAACAATATAGAAAAAAAATGAGCGAAATGCTATAAAAAAATGAGCGAAATGCAATAAAAAAATTAGCGAAATGCTATAAAAAAATGAAGAAAAAAATATAATGAGTAAAAATGTTATATATAAATAAACAGCATGAATCAACTAGTAGTATAGGTTCATCGAATTCTATAACAGATAAAATTCTGGAAGGGGAGTAATGTGGCCTAACTACCACTATAAATATTAAATACCAAATCACTAGTATTTAAGACATGTTAACTTGATACAATCACGAAATACCTTTTGATAGATGAAAGTTGACATGGTCATTAATTAAATCCCCACAGCTGTAAACAACTAGCAATTGTGATTATTAGTAGTCATAGTTATTACTAATAGCAATTTCTGTTAAAAAGCGGTTATGATTACTGGTAATCACAACATGAAGAGGTAATTATGATTATAAATGAGCGAAATCATCAACTGAATATCTTTGGTGTCAAAAATAGTGTGGCGATTTTTTAGGCTTCATTTAAGAGAATTAGTACCATTTCTCCATTAATTTGGTGGTTTTTAGAACAATAGTTTTTTTTAAAATTTAAATTAGTAGCTATTATTAAAATTAATTAAGGTGACAATAATAGTATGGCGATTTTTTACGTTTCTTCTAAACCATTCGCACAAACTTATGTTTTTAGAGCTGTTTCTCCATTCATTATGCTTTTCAGTACTTTTTTTTTCATTTCAATTACCGTAGATTTTAAATTATTTAGTTTCATGGAAGCACATTTTAAGAATGGAAACTGCGGATAGCTTTAGGAATACCAATTTGACAACGCAGTCCACCCATGCTACTGCGTTCATGAGTTTATATAATGCGAATATAAAATGATTACGATATAAAAATGTAAAATAATACGAATATAAAATAATACTAATATAATGTAATACGAATATAAAATAATTAAATATTAAAGAACGTGAGATAAATGCCTGGGATTTATAAGCTAGAAAACAGCTCTGATGTTATCTTAAACATATTTTTTAAAAAATCAAATAAACAGGATCGTCAGCAACAGTTTAATTTTTATCAATTGTAATTATAAACTAATGAAAAAATCTTATTTTTCAAACGTCTTCTTCGTAGAAACTAATTAAATTTTAAAATGATTTTTAGCCCACTGTCCTAAATCAGGCACTAACGGTTCAAGAGTCGTATGAGAGAGAGAGAGAGACTTACAAACTCGTCATTTTATAATTATAGATTTATCAAAATTTATGGAAGATTATTTCTGTGGGATGTAACACATGGTGGAAGATAGTTTCAAAGTAGACAGCATTAGTATTGCGTTACAGTTGAAATCGGATCACTCTAGTGAGTCAGAAAGTAGTTGAAAATGTGATGGCGGTTGGAAAGTGATTGCATTTTCATCAGGAACAGAAAAGCAATCAAAATGCTCCGCTCTTATTGGTATGAAATCGAGTTCGTAAAAACGCTTTGCATAGATGGTGAAAAAACTTCAGGAGGGGGGGGGGTGAAGATAACTATGAGCAGGAATAGGTATTATGTAACAAAGTTCTTTTTATTTAAAAAAAATGAAGATCTAATCTTTAACACGGAATCGGTTCCATCAAGTTTAGCACATCGATAACACGCTGTGCGACATAACAAAGTATATAAAACTCATACCTTTCTCATTCAAATTCTTTTTGAATCAATTTATTTAAGGAAATCGAAGCACTGGAATCATTCATTTTGGAGAAGAGATAGCTTATCGCATTCATTCCAATTCATTTTATTTTTGTGTTATTGTTCGGAAACTAAAAAGCGTAGCTTATCATTTGGAGCTTATTTACGGGTCACTTCAAGTTCCTTTTCATTTCTAACTTTTGTGTGCTCAGCATTCGGTGCAGCAGAAGAGCAGGCGAATGTCAAATGTGACCGAAATGGGTGCTGCAGGTGGAGAAGATGCTACGGAGATCACCCCCCTCGTCGACACAAGATCACCCCACTATGTGTATTCCTACCAGGATAGGTAATGTCCTCTTTTGCGGTTCTTATTATTATTATAAATATTAAAATGTGGACGTGAATAACATTTTTGTCTTGTTAAACAGTTATTCACAAAAAAATGTCCAACATGAATGCATGCAGGTTTGTCCCCTACTGTATTGCATTCATGTTTCTTTTACTCGAATTCAATTGAAGTATAACTCTTTCATCTTTCTAAAAAAGGAAACGCAGGGCACATCATTTTCAGGAGCAACCTTGGCATGGCAAACCTTGAGACAAACTTTTTAAAGATATAATTTTTTGAGTTAAATGATTAAACAGTTTCATAAAACATTATTATTTTACACCTTTAAGTATGCATCGTTTATTAATCTACTTTGGACACACTGAAATGTTGTTGCAAAAATTTTAAATAAATGAGCCAAGTTCCAGAAAAAGTTTCGGAGATGCTAAAAGAGTGACATTCAGCAATTTTAATTATATATATATATATATATATATATTCAAATTTTTAATAGTTTTGTGAAAATTAAAATATTTTTTGTGGAATTTTGTTTAGCGAGTTTCAAGAAATTTTTACTGGTGGGTAGCAATTTTTATTACGTAAATTATTTTCGCATAATGTTAAAATTATTTTGCAAATTTTTTTCTCATAATCTTAATATTAAAAAAAATCAAGAAGGTGTTTTTTGTTTTTGGTCAGTGAAAAAGTAAAAAATTGTTTCTAGCCAATCTTTATAGCTTTTTCAATAGCTTTTTAATCTTTGGTCAGTAAAAAGTTAAGTTTCAATTTTGTTTCAAAAGCTTCAATTTTTCAAAATGCTTCAATTTTTTTATGGCACAAAAATAAAGATTTTTGACCTCAACTTTTTTACATAATGCTAAAAGTAGTCAATGTAATGCTTCTTAACATGATAAAGCTCCAAAAAGTTTTTTAACTTTGTTTTTAGTCATTTGAAAAATAAAAAATGGTCTTTAGCCCAAATATATCAAAAATATTTTCAAGAAAAAATAGCTAAGTTTCCGATATCATCAATGTAAGTAATCAAGGGTTTCAATGTATTAACAGAAGGAATAAATATAATATAGAAGGGAATAAATGTAATAAAAAATTCGAATTAAAAGATTCCAAATTTAATGTTTTTTTTTTCTTTTTTAAAGAGCTGCTTATTATGTTTCAAATCCTTCTTTGTCTTTACGATTAACGAAATATGCTTGCATAAAGTTATAATAAGTATATATTTTATACATTTTTTATCGGCTCTTTTAAGGGAAAAAAAAGATGAATGAGGAGCAACCCCGGAAGTTGATGAGTGGAGCCAAGTAGTGCGATAAAAACATATTTTGGCTAAAAATTACTTTTTTTCTACTGATCAGGAGCAAAAAAAAAACATACTCTTGATTTTTTTCACATGGAAAAATATGATATTTTACATTATAAGAAAAATTACATTATGGTCCAGAAATTCTCAAAACCAATTTTATCGCTTTACAAAAAGACCTTTTCTACAAAAAAAATTTCAGGAAAATAAATTACATGACGGTAACGGATATTGGTCAATTTCACTTCAAAAAAAGCCTGATTTAAAGTTTTGAGGAAAAAATCCATAGAATTTCTAAAAATTATCAAGCGTTATTTATCTTAATTAAATGAAGCAAACTCTTTATTTTTTTACTTTTATAACATGTATTGCGATGTCGAATAATATTATATATTATATCAGAAATCAGAAAAAAACCTCAAGAATATATCAGAAAAAAACCTCAAGAATTTCTGAAGTCAAAAATCGCGAGGATAGAGACCTTTAATCATTAAGTCATCGAATTCGAACATAAATTTCTTGAAAAAATTTGATAGAGTGACAATATTTAAGGCATTTTTAGTATTCTTTTAATGTTAACATCTTGAATGGTGTTTTGATTTTTTAAAAGGTATCGATATAATATAAAATGCACGCATGTTGTTTAACTTAAAATCAACAAAATTATTATCTTAAGAGGAAAACAAAGTGCGATCCTAAAAAAAAATGTTTTAGATCCGACGCTTCTGCTTGTCTAGTCACCAAAACACAACGCAATGTGTTTTTAATTTTTATGGCTTAAATAAATGTAATATTTTTATTTCATGATATGAGCATTAACAACTGCACAATAACCGGCAATATATATTTGCACCAAAATCAGAGTATAAATTACGTTGTTTATAGTCACGAGGAAACGATGGAGAGAGAGATCTTGCAGATGGTGGAATCCCATGATCAATCGTCTACTGTTAATGAGAGGAGGAGCTGTTGCTTCTCGGCCATCAGAAGGAACATCAAGCTGACCCTTCTCACCATCATCATGCTCTTCTGTGTCGTAAGTGTTTTCAATTCCTATTTCAATGTTTAGCAAAGATATTATTAGGACCTCGAGTGAGAGTCATTCGGAACATTATTAATCTGTTCTAGACACACTGTTGTTACCATCAGGAGCAACAGCTTATTGATCTCTTGAAAATATTATGGGAATGGCTTTTAAGATGTTTCAAAGTAAGCACAACTAACCGTGTAGTGTTTGGCTTTGAACATTTCAGTAACAAATTTTGAAATTCATTTTTGGAATGCTCTTCAATTCTGGAGTTCTAAATGTCTTTCGACATCCTTTAAACCTTGTTATTTAATCAAATTGTTTAGTTGCGGAGGATATGGTAAGGAATAAATTATCTTACCATTCGGACAAATCGCTCGCAGATATTTTGTTTCCAAAACTGAAACATTTCATGAAGTAAAAAGATTTAAGAATGTCGGTGGACATTAAGAACGTCAAAATGGAGGAGCATTCCGACAGAGGAATTTGAAAGTTGCTTTTAAAATGTTTAAAGCCGAGCACAACACGGCTGTTGGAGGAAGCTTTGAAACATATTAAATAAATATATGTCATTTACAAGACTTAATAGATGAAAGTTGAAAATAAATGGAAGTTCCTTGCTGTTTGAGGAACAAATAGATGGGTGCGTATTGTTGACAACCATTTTATAAAATTTTTTTCGTCACAAGGTTGAATTCCTTTTCACGTGGTTGCCCGTTTTTTCTGATCGCTGAACATAAAACGATTACAACTTATTAACTATTCATTTAATCGTCTCGAAATCAATCTTACTCAATTGAGCTTAAAAATATATCGCAAACAATGATAGCATTATCAGGTACATAAATAAGTACAAGTATAAATATAAATCCCTTGTAGGTTCTACTAATTCGATCTTCTCAAGAGTGGTCTCGTTCAATTCAGTGTGAAAAAGTAGCTTATCTAGGGAAAAACTCAATTCTCTTCCTCAGCTACCCCATTTTTCTCAAAAAAAGGGCTAAGCTTATAGAGGGGAGTTTACACTCAGACACTCAAGTATCATTTATAAGAGCGTAACAAAGCTTTCTTTGTAAAAAAATTCTGGGGTAATAATTTTCTGAAGAAAAAATCTGATTCTACTGGACTATTTAAAATCAGAGCTTTTCAGAGTAATAGAAAGTGTTCAAGACTAAGTTTAAAGTGATGGACATCTAAGCAATCGTGTCCAGTTTAAAAACGAAATAACGCCTCAGCAAGACTCGCACGGGTCCTTTCCTCACATCTTCGTTTAAAAGGTAGGAAGCAAACCTCTTTTTTAATTTCAATTTAACCAGGAGCTTTGCAGTTTAGATTGGGTGATTTTTTTATTTCTCTTTCTTTGCAAGGAAGTCAGCAATCAGACTCCTCCACACTACAATAAGGCCTAGGGAAATTTAGTCTGATTAACTCATCGGTTATTTCTTAATTAGCCCAAACGGCTAGAAGCAGATTGTAATACGCTTAACTATAAGATTGATTAGAAAATTTGGAAGACTTTTACTTTTCCAATTAGCCAGAAATTTCATAAAATGCTGACAGCGTGTGCTAAGAGCCGAATTTTTCAATTAGACTACAACACTTACATTAACAATTTGTTAAACCAGACTTTTAGGAACATGATATTGGCTGAAAAAGGGAAAGACTGGTCTCTCTGGTTCGATTTCTTTGCTACTGTATTTCAAAATTCAGTAAAAATACCAAAGGTTGTGTAATTTTAAGCACTATTTTAAATACAGAAGTTTATCATGGCAATAATTCATAATAGCATATGAAAGTGGTATTATAGAGAACTTGTCTTTATGAGTAAATGCACTTTTTAGTGTTGAAATATTAATAAAAAGACTTGAAATCGGCATGAAACTGAATGTTGATCTTAATAATAAGTTATCAAGAAAGATAATAAGAGAGTAGGGTAGATGAAGATCAAGGGGAAAAAAGTGGTATATGTACATAAAAGCTGATTCTGATAAAAATGAATTTCAAGGCTTGAGAATTTTCTGGAGCAATCATTTCCTTGAAATCCCTAAAAATAAAATTACACTGTCCAGTTATGTGACCACCCGTCAAAAGCCAGAAATAATCACCTTTCGCAAAGAGACATTTGGAGACGTGCAGGAAAAGAGTCAATTGGTTTCGCTTTGAAAAAGTTCACTGGATTGCTGCTCTATGTTAAGTGGTTTAGAGCGCGCTAAATTGAATTTGCGAATCCAAGTTGTTAAATTTAATGTTGAGAGAAAATAGAATTCAGAAACTAGAAAATTGGATTGAAACTGTTTTTTTTCCCCTCAAAATATTACCCCAATCAACATTTTCTGACTAAGCACTTTTTTCACTATACTTTTATTCTTTGTCTAGGTGTGGACAGAAATCAAATGCCCAAGCAGGGCCCATCTACAAGTAATAACTCTCGGGAAAGACCGATTTTACACATTTATGCTTTGTAAAAGCTTAGTAATTCTTTAAAATGCACGAGATAGCGTTCCAGTCATCATTTTTTTTTATTGCGAAAAGAGAGCATAAATCGTTCTTTCTCTTCCAGCAAAAGACCCTTTTTTTAAAAGTGATTGGCAGGGGATACTAAAAACAAAAGAACTTTTTCTTGTTAGAAATGAGATAACTTAATCGGTGGTCTTGACACACTGCTTTATAAAAAAGATCTTGAAATTATAAGTCTCAAACGATATTAGCTTTTCGCTTTTCTATATTAAATAACAATGTCTTCCAGCAAACTCTTGTCACTTAACATTACTCACAGCAGAAATATGTATTTCCTTGAATCTTCTTCGTTATAGCGGGAGGCCAGTAATTTTTTAATCGATATGGATTTACAATATTTTTATAGTTATTATTAGCATTTTAACAGTAACTTGGAAATGTGTTATAATAGCTGAGTAATATGTCTTTCTTGTTATATCGAGGTTTTACACTGTGTTCCTACAAAAGTCGCAAGATGTTTCCTTACATGGTCACTGAGTGAACAACTTTTTTTTCGTTATTTAACATAATAATTGTCCGTAAAATTTAATGGTTAATTGTTTACATAAATCAACTGTTGATGGAATAGTTACTTAATTTATTATTTGAATAAGTAAGCATTGCTTCAAATATTTTTTCGTTTAGATTAAAATGATTTAATATCATATTTAAATAACTGTGAAATATAATATTTAGTCATTTTAATCTAAACAAAAGAATATTTGTTGTAATTATTATTTATTCAAATTAAGAATTCCATTCGCTTCAAAATCATACAAATAGGAAATAACGGTTGACAAGCTTCAAGCGCTCAAAAATAGGCTCCCATTTTACCGATGCGAATGAGAAGAACGAAAAGGGATTCTATAAAACTTAAAGTTGCCTACGAAAAATGGAAAAAGTAAAGGTGAGAAACGAAACTGGAGGAAAGTAGCCGAAAGAATAGCCGAGAGAGAAAAATGAAAAACAGAACAATAAAAGTAAAACCACCGTATCCGGAAGTAGAAAATCTGGGTAAAAGGTATTTCCATGCGCTATGGAGAGGTGCTGAGAATTTAATGTCGATAACAAGGGTATCAGCATTTATAAGAATTTAAGAAGATTCCAAGGCATCAAGATGAGCTGATGTGACTGGGGTGGAAATGATTCGTATTGTCGAAATTGACTTTATGCCCAAAATTCCAACAATGTGCAGCAATTGATGATTTCTCGAATTCTTGATAACGGATATTGTGTTCCTTAAGTCTAAATTTTAAAAGGCGTCTAGTTTGTCCGATGTAGCCAGTGACGAGGAATGAGTCTCCAGCGATTAGTAGAAAATATTCAAGAGACTTTTATTTAGTTTTGTTAACAGGTCTAAAAATGACTTTAAAACTAAAACGGAAGCGGGTGAAAAAGTTCTCTTTAAGGATTAGAAGAAGGTTTGGGTTCAGCAAGAGCTGAATCAACTATAGAAGGGTTGAATGTACGGTTAGCCTCTAGCGAGTTAAGTTCAGTGCAAAGGCTTAGTGAGCGGAAAGTATGAGATGCATAATGACGATAAGGAATGGACATGGGGGGAGATGCGTTAGTTGGGAAACAAAATCATGGGAACAGCATAGATATTGTTGAGGTGGTATACACTAAATAGCAAGCAAGTTTATAGCTCGGGGTAACAATGTTCGAGGTCTAAAAGCAAGTTGTGAACTTTAAGAAGAGAATGGAAACGAGCACAATAGAAGAAATGACGTTTAGTGTAGTCCGAAAGAGTCCTTTTTATTTTATTCTTAATAGCAGCAGTAGAATGAGAAGGGTGTAAGAGCTAAAATATTCTCAACATAATCAGATTTATTGAGTAATATTATTGTTTGCGTTTCAAAAATATTTTACCATGCAGATCACTAAATGTTATCCATTTTTATTTTGCTTCAATCTATAAAATTAAATTTGATAAATTTGATCATTTGAAATATAATTAACCATTTAATACCTGAGCGTTCAAGTTCACTGTAGGAATGTCATAATTTAGAGATATAATTTCTCTTTTACAAGTTTTATGACATACTTTACTGTCTGGATAATTATCGTCTTTGTAATGATAACGACTTTACTGTAAAACTTAATTGAAGATATAACACAAAAAAAATTATTTTTTTATAGCTTCTGGCTTACTCTTTTCATATTACTATTAGAAGCATTATACCTTTCATCTCCTCCACTATTTACAGAATAAGGAATAAGTGCGATATGGTGTACAACTACGAAATTTAACTTTGAAAGATGCTGAAGTGTTTGAATATGAGAGCCCGATTTTTTAAAATTTCTGATTATAATCTTTTATATAAATTTTTATTTTTTATTTTAAAAATTTACAGTTTTATCGGAATGAAATTTTGATAACAGTTGTTGGGATTTCAGAATTTCTAGCAAATATTTACTTTAAATTTGGCGAAATATTGACGGTGTTGACATAAAATATCAAATTAAAGAGATTAAAATGAGTGGCATACAAGGTTTCTCGATCCATGAGCGCAATTACATGTCTGGACTGCTATTCATTGTTGCATAGTAACAAATTTAAATTACCATCGACTGTAATATTTATTTATCACCATGTTTATCAGTATGAATTGTTTTAGTTTTCGAACCTAAGAGCAAGGCAAGCTAACATAAAAAAGTTAACTAAATAAAATTAGATCTATGTAAAACTCGCATAATAATATAAAAAGTTAATTTAAAAACATGCTATAGCGCTCCCTTTTCTTGAACCTTACGAACTAACCACTATTACTCTTTTCAACAAGACTACTCATAGCACCCTCTGTCGCTTTCATAGCACCCTCTGTCACACAACTTTCTACTTGAATTTTGTATTGTTTGTAATCCTATGTGTAGTTAAGTGAGAAAATTAAACAAAATTTAAAATTTTTACTTTAAAACTTTTGTTAACTCCTTTATTAAAGCCATTTGAGCTAAAAATAAAAACACATTTATAAAGCAAATATTTTTAGTTTGAGCATAGTATTATGTTTTGCAAGTAGTCCCATCTAACTAGTGTGTTGATTCGATTTTTGTTTCAACCGGAAAGAAACTAAGAGTTTACTCAATTTTTCGCCCATAATTTTGTGATTTTGAAATGAACTAATAAAATGTAGATATTTTGGCAAAGTCCCATCATTTTTATGGGTAAATGATTGCATATAAGCTTCAGCTAATCGTCCACATGTCTATAAAATAATACTCATGAATATAATATTCAATATAATCCTGAATTGGTTGGATTTTCAAAGATAGATAGAGATCCTCAATTACGAGAGTTGTTTAGTTGTATACTTTTCCTCAACTTTATTCCTTTCTGAAAAATATTTTTCCACTAATTTTATCTGTAGACAAATAACTTCATAAATGTGGGCAACAATAATGTGGATTCAAAATAAGAGACTGGGAAGCTATTTTCTTTTGTGCCTTTGTTCATTTAATTATTTCCCAATGAGGTAGTTTTAAGCACAGAATAAATAAGCTCATTAATCTATAGGCACACAATTTCAACACTTCTTTACAGTTGGTAACATTTCGAAAATCAAATTCTCCTTCTCATCAAAAAAAAAAAAAAAAAAAAATCTAATTTTGGGCAATAACGATTTTTTTATATGTCAATCAATCTCAGGCACAAAAATATTTTAACATAAAATTGCTAGAAAAAAGGGTAGCCCAACGAAACGTTAAATAATAAAACGAAGACATTTATTATTATTATATGCGTAGGAACAAAGTTATTCTTAATTCCTAAAACAAAACTTTAACACTGAAAATCAGTTTTCTATATTACTGGTTATTTAGATTGCAGTACAGGGAAAAAGTGATAATAAATTAATAGTATGAGACGTTACGTTAAAATGCTGCGTTATAATAAAAACAGCAGAAGTGGAAAAAAAATTCTTCTCAATTCTTAGAATTAAAAATATCGAAAAAATTATGAAATTGATTTGTCTGATTATAATTTTTATTAATTATTTTTTTAAAGAAAAACAGAACTACAAAAACTTGCGGTTCAGTATTAAGTAATCTAGTTTTCCAAATTTCGTTTTTCCCTTTGTCTTCCAGAAGATAAATTCGCAAGCCATGTGCAGAAACATGGATTCTAAAATTTAAGAAATTTGTGTTTAAACTATTTCTTATAATGAAAAATACCATAATATAATAAAAATATGATTTTATATCATTCTTTATCATATCTATACAAATTCAAAAAAAAAAAAAAAACTTAGGAAAATACACTTCTGAAAAATATTCTGACGAATATTTGACCGATTATTTAACCAACTGAATTTTTGACAAAAGGGCCAAATACTCGTTACATCCCTTATCTAAAGGCGATATGATTCTAACCTGAGAAATTCATGAAGTGGCAGGAAATGAGAATTTTTGAATTACTCACTGTTTGTAGTTTTGATTTCAATTTTTTGTTGCTTAAGTGATCTTTTTCGATAGAAAAAAGATAACGCTTGCTATATAAAAAATCTAATAATTAATAAAATGAAATAATAAAGTACGTTACCAAATAAGTATTAAATTTTATCTCGAACTGTAACAGTTTTGCTTTTATTTTAGGCTTCTGCTTAAAACTTATAAATTTTCTTCAATTAAAATATTTAATTTGAATTTATATTACTTAATTATGTACTAAATTTTTTCCTACTTTCATTCTGTGAGCATTGTTTTTTTTTCTAAGAATTTATTTTTAAAATGAATTTTTGCACTGCGTGATATGATAAAAAAAGCATTTTTTTTCTCCAATGTTTATTTATTTATTTTGATAAATCTATTGTTGATATGATGAAAATTGCAATTTTTTTTAAAAAAGAAGTATTATTTTTTCTTATTTTTCAATGAATTCTAATAATTGAATGCTTTTAATTTTCTACAAATATATTACTAAGTTTACTGATACAAGGAAACTAGAACACTAATGTTTAAATAACTACATTTGCAGTTTACGTGTCTAAATACATGTGCGGCCCTTCGTTAGTCAACCTGCTGGGCAAGTGGCCCTTCACTCAAGAAGGTTGTGGATCCCTAAGTTAATGGATGTTACATTTTCGAAATTTAAAAATAAACAAAGCGTTTTTTTTTTAAAATCAAAAATGATATTGGTTCTTTTAAAGGTCATCAAGTCTTTTATATCGCTTATTTAATCAAAAGCTAATTTTTGAGAAGGATCATTAAACAACTCCTTGACTCCATGGTAAATAAAAATTAAAACAATATCAAATCAATATCAGAGCAATATCAAAAGAAATATCAAAATAACAGTTTACGGAAACATAAGTGCATACTTTTAGATTTAGTTTCTTTTTCATTTTACAGGTTTCTCTGAGTTTTATTAAAGTCCATAGCCATGATTGGAATTCTATTGCTCTGCTTAAAGGTAAAACAATCAGTATCCTTTAATTATTTTCAGTGCATTTCAGTCAGTACAGCAAAACTAGAACTGCAATAATTCATATTTTTTCTTTTGGAATATTTTTCTTTTTTCAGAAAAATCAAAATCTCTCAATATGAAAGGCTTTCAAGAAACGTTTCTGTAAGAGAGGACAAATTAGAAAAGTGAATGCATGAGAGTGCTTGAATGCACATTTTTTCTAATCAACCACACGGCAATTTATAAATATTGCAACAAACGAACAACTCTTTCATACTTCAAAGAGCTAAGTAATCATTTAAATGAAGAAAATTTCCGATGAATTGTGAATGTAAGAACTTACTTCATTTTCTCACATTCATTCAATTTATAGAAAACTGCAGTCTCGTAAAACCTGTCCATAGCCGTGGTTTGCTCTTACTAACAAATCCTTGTTTATAGCACAAATGTATAGCTTTATTAATTAAGTTGTTTGTTTTTACATTTCTTCCAAGTATCTGCTCTAAATTTCTCATTGGTTTAATAAAATTTGACTTGCGGATGGTTCTTGTTTCCCCTGTTAAAATAAACTAAAATTTCGCTGACTAAAAGGGCTATATCACAGATAAAAATAGCTGTTAAATTTCCTGCCTAGGTGCAATTTCTTAAATCAGCTAAACCAAACATATATTTAAACTTTGATTTAAACTTGAAATATGCGTTCAAGGTCAAGATACTTTCTTCTATCGCTGAACATTGCTAAAGATTAGATATATTAGATAGATTGAATATATCAATCATCATTTTGAATCTTCTTCTTCTAAAATCTCTTACTTGGATTTTTAGGCATCAAAATACAGAATGTCATCAATTTAATTACTGACATAATGAATATTAAGGATTAAATGTTAATGAATGATAATCACTTTTACAGCATTCTATTTTTTCTTAGAAATTAAGAACAATAATCTCAAACACAATTTTCTCCTTGCTATTAGGAGCCCTAGGAATAGGAACGTGCGTCATTTCTCTCTTGGCCATCTTAACTCATGGTCTGTCGCTGTCCCTAATCCTTCTTCTTCTTCTTATTATTATTATTATTTTGTATTGCTGTGAGTTTTGATCTTTCAAACATTGTCTCGTCAAACGGGCCAAAGTCAATTATTTCGGATAACTCAAAATGTTTGACTTCCTCAGACACCACTAGTTTTCAAGCCATGCAATAAAGCTGCTTTCATTATTCTTATAAGTAATCATAACACTGGTCAACAAAGAAAAAAATTTTTTTTTTTCATACCTGAAATTTTAAAACGAATTTTAGCTACAGGGTAACAAAAAAGTATAGGGATCACCTTTGTGGCTATCTACCACTAAAGTTTTAAAACCTTTTTGCATATATAGCTTACTGATCTAAAGCTCTGCTATTAGACTTTCAATTGCAATACTATTTCATAAAATCACAAAAATGTCTTTGAAGAAATTTGACGAAAAGCTAATTGGTCAAGTACAAGCATTTTTAGAACTTCGCTGGAGCCACAGGATTATACAAATCCATTTTAAAAAGAAAGGTATTGCGATTTCACTCAGCCATATCAGTCGCATCAAGAATTAAAAACTCGGATCGATGCAAAATAATGCAAAGCCAAAAAGAAGTGGACGGCCAAGCAAATTGAAGAAATCAGATTTGCAGAAGCTTGATAAGATGACATCAAAACCGGATCCACCAACACAGGCAAGCCTGGCTAAATCTCTTAACGTGAGTCAGCAAGTTGTAAGATATCAACTAAAACAAAAGTTGAAGAAAAAATGCAATAAAAAACCTAAATGTCATCATTTAAGTGAGAGATCGGTGCTGATTAGGAGGCAACGCTCATGGCCCCTCTACAAGCTTCTCCGTAAGGACAGATGGCGAAAGTTCATTACAACTGATGAAGCTTGGATCTATCTATCTGATACCAATGCTAAATCTAAAGTTCAATATCTTAGTCGCGGGCAGAACAGACGAGACTTGACACCATCAACCACGGTGCCTCATCCCAAAGGCGTAATGGTTTGGATGGGCATATCCGGCCATGGTGCGACCTAACCTCGGTTTGTGAAACCTGGGGCCAAAATAAATTCTGAGTATTATATACAGAAGATATTAAAGCCCTTTCTTAAGGATTATTACTGCAGATTTTACCCTAATGGTGATGCTGTGTTCCATCAGGACTCTGCCCCATCGCATGCATCTAAGGTCACCCAGAAATTCTTAACAGATCAGCAAGTGCAATTCCTGAGACCAGAACAATGGATTCCAAACTGTCTTGATGCTGCACCATGCGACTATTTCCTGTGGAGACATCTGAAAAACAAACTGAATAAGCGAAGAATTTCTACATTGAGAGGCCTTCAAAGAGCTATTAGAGAAGAGGTGAAGAAAATCCCCCAGGAAATCATTTTGCGGGCTTTAAGGGGTCACAGTACCCAAAAAATGACAAAAATACCAAAATTTTTTTTTTATTGCTTATAATAAAACTTCAAAGTATTTCAGATGTACAGAAAAAAATTCATCTCTCAATCTACATTTTTAAAAAAGTTATGAATGATTTTAAATTGTTCTAATACAGAAACTTGCTCAGCAGTCTGACTTTAAAGTGCTTTTTCGCATAGATGATAATTTTGTGTCTTAATCTTAATTAANCTATTATGCCGGAGGTTGACATATTGAGAAGCATCGCTGAATTTATGTAATAAATTTTGGAAATATAAACATTCAAAAATGATCCCTATATTTTTTTGTTACCCTGTATATTTGGGTTGCTGAATCTAAACATGAAATCAGTTTTTCTCGATCAGCTCTACATTTTTAGATAATTTCACTTTATCAGTCAATGTTATTTTCTATTCAATACCTTCAAGTATGTGTGCCGTAAAATTTATACAAGGATTGGTTCTTGTATACTTGACAAATTGTCAGTCTTATTTTTATAATAATTGAATTCAAATAATATTTATGAGATAATAATATTATTATTTTATAAATAAATACTATTACTATAGTCCAATTGTTATAAAAAGAGACGCTATGGGCTATGGCAACTATAATTAACTGGACGGCATATTGTTAATATGTAGGATTTAACTTTCTTATTAACCGTCTGCCGTTCGGTTAGTTCTAGTTAGATTCTGTATCTGAAGTTACCTTCAAAACCTCAGCTGCAATTGAGATTAGTGTGTGAGTTCGCACCGTGCAGAGAGATCAATGTTGGCGTCGCTTAAAATTTCTGTTTAGTAAAGAGTTGTTATAAAGTTAACCTATAACGTATATTGTTGTTTTTGTTTTGTTGAATAGAAGTAAAATGAGGACAAATAGAAGAAGCTGTGTACATCATCCTGATGTCTTTTGCTACGTTTGTGGAGAATACGCGTTTCTGGAAAACAGAAAAGCTGTTAGTGACTTTGCAAAGAGAGCTTATCTTAGATATTTTGGTTTCTAGGCTTGGTGATCAGGATAAAACCTGGGCACCACATCGGGTCTGCAAAATTTTTTCAGAGCATTTACGACAGTGGACTACCCGGAATATTACAAGAATCAATCGAAAAAACCGCAACAAGTGCACTTATCCTTATTTAGTCGGTGTAAGGTGCTTGATTTTTCAATTGCTAATTTCAACGTTTTACCAGCTACCAGAGCTCTGTGAGGACGAGTATTGTCCCTCTGATCAGCCTTTCGATACCACTGAAGGTGACAGTGATTATGAGGAGACATCATCAATTCCTCAACATTTCAAACCAATATGAGCTAAATGACCTCATCATAGATCTTTCGAAAGAAGCTTCTGAAGTACTGGCATCTAGGTTGAAGAATAAAAATTTATTTGAACCAGAAACCAAAATTACATTTTATCGTATAAGAGAGAAATATATGTCACCCTTTTTCTATCAAAAAGAAAATCTTGTATTTTGTCACGTTAGAGGTCACCTGGGAAAAATTAGTCTTCCAGAATATTTTCCCGATGATAGCTGCCTATTTATTGACAGTTCTAAGTGAAGTTTGAAATGCGTTCTTCAACATAAGGGGAGCAATAAATATGGCTCAATACCAATTGCTCTCTCAACAAAAATGAAAGAAGAATGCGATACCATAGTTTTGGTTTTGAAGAACATAAAGTATCATGATTTGTGCAGACTTAAAAATGGTAAACTTTCTCCTTGGACAGAAAAGCGGCCATACCAAATATCCTTGCTTCCTTTGCCTCTAGAATAGCACAGACAAAGTACATCACTGGATTAGAAGAGAGTGGCCTAAGAGAGAAAACATGGACATTGGGGAAAAGAATTTCATTAATAATCCCTTAGTTGCACGAGAGAAAAATCATCTTTTCTCCACTGCATATTCTCTTGATAAGAATGGATCATGCTCTGCATACATAGGGGAGAAAATGCCTCAGTTGGGTACGGAAAAAGTTAATGCAGAAATATTTGATGATCCACAAATAAGACACTTGATTAAAGACCCTGCCTTCATAAATTCGATGAATGAGGTTGAGAGAAAAGCCTGGCCTTCATTTGTTGCAGTTATCAGAAATTTTTTGGTCAAGCCCAAAGCTGAAGACTACGTTGAGCTAGTAAACGAAATGCTTAATAGTTTCAAATCCTTTGGGTGTAACATGAGCATTAAGGCGCCCAATTTATACAACCGCTTGGACCATTTTCCAGATAATTTAGGAGACACTAGTGAGGAACAAGGTGAAAGATTTCATCAGGATATTAAAATTATGGAGCACCGCTACCAAGAGAGATGGGATAACCATATGATGGCAGACTGGTCTTTAAAACGGGATTGTGCCAAAATACAATCAAGAATGACACGGAAAAGAAGTTTCCGAAGTGTTCAGTGAGTAATTGGCTTAATTGATGACTTTTCTCTTATTTGTATAATATAATAAAAATTCAGTGTTTAGTTTGCTTGTTTAATCCATGGATTTCATTTAAAATAGTAAAACGTATAGTTCACTAAAATGTTATATTTTAGAAACTAGAGCTACTAAGCAAAAACTAATGCTGTATTCGAATTCAGGGCATCAAATTCATGTAAAATCACCTCAAAAAACCTTGGCACCGAAACCACTGTTGACCAGTGTAATTATTACATTTTGATGAAATCCCTTTTATGCCTTTGAATTAGGAACATAGAAAATTTCGGTCATTTTACAACTAGCTACAGAGGATAACAAGTGATGATATCTCATGATTCTAGGAAGTTGAAATTAGCCAGATGGTTTACTCGATGATTCTTAAAATGTGATGAACTTTTGAACGAAAATTTATTGTTACATATTAACTTTTTCCACGGTTGTATACCGACATTAGCAGAATGATAAAGTATTTTAAATTTCTTTTTTCGTTTATTTGATGACCCATTAGCATATTTTTCTATTTACTTTTTCTGAGAGGGAATTATAAAGAATCTTCGGACTTTTCATTACATGAACAGGATCTCAGTGGGATCAGGATAAGTTCAATAATTAGCTTTATTTTCATCCTCTTTTTTCTGTTTTTAAAAGAGTAGTTGCGTTTCAAAAGTTTCCTTTCGTAATTTTTTTTCTTGTTTCAAAATATAGTTTGAACTTTATTTAATAATCCCAAGAATTACCGAATTGACGGCTTATAAGAATTTATGATCTTATTTGAAGAAAACACAAGCCATTTACACAAGTCCACATACGAGGTATAAGTTGGCTTCTTTTAGGCTTTATTTAGCATCTTATGATGAATTCTTAAGGAGCGGGGTTTCTTGGCTGGGGCTTGGGCTTTGGCTTTGACCATTCGAGTCGTAGTTTTGCTAGCAGTTACATCATGAAAAAGCCACGCATTTTCAATGGCTCCCGTTTCTTAAACAGGAATTCTGAAAGGATAATTGATTGGTTGCAAGAATATCCTTAATTTAATCAAACGTCATCCAAATTTTGATACGTTCCAAAGATGACGCCTTTCTGACCATAGGGAATTTTCGGGATTTTCTTAATGCGTATTTTTCTAAGAATTATTACCCATTAACTTCAGGAAATAATATTTTAATTGGCATCTTGACTTTTTAGGGCTCTTCGTGAAAGAACGATTTCTACGTCTTAAAATTAAAAAGAGAAATCTATTTTAAGGTTATGATTAAAGATAGAAAGACTCGTATGAGACATTCTATAATACATAAATATAGATCTGTGTGTGGGTGTGTGTCTATCTATGTATAATGGGGGCATGATTCAGGGAATGAATTATTTACTTCCTTGATGATAGTTTATACATGAATGTGACGGGAGATGCAACTTTTAAGCAGGAACTCATCCATGTGATGGCGAAGGGACCCTTCATCATCGACAAAGATTATCCGGGCTCTCAAGACTACGTGAGTTTCTCCGTCTCCAAGATAAACTGCAATGGAACTTACGTTGTGAGTAACTGATTCATTATACACTCATTCCATTTAAAAAAAACTATGTTTTTAACAGGAGCCTAAAAACATTTGGAATAGAAATTTGTTTAAAAAAATCTGTCGAAATATTACTAACTAATAGGTTTAGATATCCATAATGCCATTTCTAAATCGTGATTGAGAGTACGATTGACGGAAGTGACAAGCCAAGATTTTCTGTATGCTGTAAAGTTCTTAAATCTATTCTATGCTTATTTTAGATACTTTTAGCAATTCTTTTAAATATAATTTTGGAATGATATTAGGGAGAGATTTCCTTACACTGAATAAAATATCTAGCAGCTTTACCTGGGATAAAAGAGGCATTTTAGTAATATTATCGTAAGAAAGCATATTTTACCATTCATATTTGAAGCTACCCAAACTCGAATCCCAGCTATAATGGCTGGTCGATCCTTACTCTACTCCTAGTTCACACTGCGTGAACCGAAATTATCTGTTTGACGGATCAAGGAGTAGAATCGGACTTACCAAAAGAAGTTTTCCTTTTCTTTCTCCCCATGTATCAAAAATGCGTGTTAGTTCCATCAAAAAGTTCCCCACTGAATCTGATTTGCCCCAATGCTTGACTTCTAGGTTGGATACTATTTATATATATATATA